GAGACTAAATAATTCAAGTTTCTGTTTCTTACTCCACACCACCACCCCCCAACATGTAACTGTTATTGGTTTTGTGTGTTTTTTTACGTTGAGTAATGAATTTAAGAGAAAATCTTCATTCAAAGACTAGTTTCAGACATCCGTTCCCACAAATGAGAAACTTAAAAAAAACACACACACTTTTCTGACCTTAAAGCACCAATAATCAGCCCCCTTCCTCTTTCTCTCTTCTCACACTGCTGTTTTGCCTTAAATGGAGCAGGGGGAGAGGAGGAAGTAGCTCCAAAGATAAACTTGTCAAAAGCCTGCACTACAATACTAATTCCTCTCTACCTGTTTGTGAATGTCAGCTGGGAGCAAGCGCTGAAAAGCTATGGGGGGAAATGGGGGGAAGGAAGGGGGGGCAAAGAAAAACTAGAAGGCAATTCAAACAAAAATGAAATCTCTCTCTCTCTCTCTCTCAGACACACAAAGAGAGGGAAAAATTGCTCCCCCCAGCTCAGGTCCTAACAACATACTTCTTTATCAGAGGTTCATTGTCAATCAATTAGCCAAGGCAGCAGGGGTCTGTGAGGTGGGGGCACCCGGGGAAACAATGGGCAGCCCTGTTGTATTACTATTTAATCACTTTTGCTAAATAAATAGAGCAGCCCCGAGGTGCTGTCATGTCAAGGGAATTTATAACAAACAAAAAAAACTTCATTTTTCATTGGTCATTCCTTTTCTCCCCCAGGACAAGAGAGGGTTATTACTGTAGCCTTGCGTCCCATCTTTGTGTTTCTTGCCTTTGAGTCCCACTGGACCCTGCCACTTTCTGGCACTAATTTGTCAGGCTGAACAAAGAGGATTTGTACCTCCTGTAAGGTCTCAATTAGGAATGGCTTCTGCTGTATTCTGCGCCATTCAGAAAGCACACAATGCCGGTAATTACAGGAATTTGCACTAAATGGCTGAAGAATTCACAGCAAAACTTCCCCCCACCCTCCCCACCTTGGGCTTACCCCTCCCAAGGGCTGGGGGGTGGCGGGGTAGGAAAGCAAAAAGCTCTTAAAGCCAGAGAGACATAATTACCAACAGCAGCCCCAAGAGGTTAAACAGCAGCCGAAGGAGTAAAACCATAAAAACTGACAGTGTGCAAATGGTGGCGGGATCCCAGAGCTCACTGTCTCTCTTGCTGTCCCTTCCGCGTCAGCTTCAGTCCAGAACGAGGAACACTGTCCCACAGTGGGCCTCCTACGTCACTTCCAGGTCAGAGCAGTGACAAAAGGAATGCTTTCCACCGGGCGCTTTGCATCTCCTTGTTGCAACCATAAACAAGACCCCGGCCCTTGCATGATAGCACTGGACTCAGCTGCTAGGTTTCTGGATTGCTGGGAAATTACAGGAAAAATGTGTGTGTGCTAGTGCCAAGAAAACCATGTTATCTGTGGCAAGAAACAGGTACGTGCGCATGTCTAGGATCTGAAGAGAACAGGGCCGCTGCCTGATTTATACAGCTATCTGTGAGCAACCTCGCTTAGAATCACTTGCAGGTACATCCTTAATAAATATTTTAATAAGCCACATGATCACTTGTTTTAGCATTAATATTTTAATAGCGCAGATTCCCCACTGCCAAGCACTGTTCTGAATCCCAACCAGGAACTTCACTGAGGACTACATCTCACCTTCTGCTACACAGTTGTTTCTGAAAAGCTGGATGGAAGCGCCACCCAATTAATTCCCCCTCAATACCACTTTTGGCAGGTGCGCCTCTGCTCAGGAACCTTCTGCAGCTTCGGGCTCAAACGTTTAGTTCAACCTTGCTGAACTGCCCCTCTTTTTGCAGGTCCACGACGACCACACCTCACCTCTGAATGTTCTCTAACTCAGTGTGCGGGCCTGCCTTCGTGCTCTTGTCACAGCTGCCATTTGGCACTCTGGATGTGACTGCAGGCTCCAGGAGAGCAGCGGCCATGCCTACTTTCTTGCAGCACTGACTTGCCCAGGTGCACAAAGTTTTGGGCACACGGTCAGAAACTTGGTGCGTAATAAATGGTAGAATGACTGACTGGAAGAAATTACTTTTCAGGAAAAGGAAACAGCACATGCAAAGGCCATGGAGGCAGGACTGACCAAGGCAGGTTCCAGAACAGCGGGGACCACCATGGCTGGGGCAGCCATGGAGCTGGGAGGAAGTCATGGAATAAACCACACATAATCAGATACGACTATAAAAAGTTCAAGCACATGCTAAGAAATATACAGTTATACATAAGCATGTATTTTCAAAACCATAACCTCAGACATTTTTGGACGGTTGCGGTCCATTTTCTCTGCAGGGGCACTTTAAATTTCAAGGAAGAATATAGAAAATTCTTCACCTACAGAAAGAATTTAGTGCAATAAGACCAACTGCACTATTTTGTAGATTTAAAAGCCAACATTTGTGGCTCCCCCGAATAGCAACTGAATGACATCATTAATAAAGAGCTACTCAGTGCAATCTTCCACTTTTAAGGTTTATCCATCGAAAATTATTCAAACGGGGAGGGACTAAGTGGGCATAAAAACTGCCAGTCGAAAGAGGCTCACTAAAACCATGAAATACTGTGAATTAGCTTCTTCTTAAAGTAATAGAAAAAGCCAAGATTCAACTAAAAACAATTTACTGGACTTGCTGGCCTTCTGGAAGGTAAACATGCTATGTAACCAGCTTTTTTCACCGATTGAGTTTTTATGAGGATGCAAAGCTCAGGAACACAAGTACTACACGAAGAAGCAGCTGGTTTAGATTAACTGTGTTTGTGAGAAACATAGATCAATTTTTAAAGTTCCATCTGCTATAATAATCCTTGATATAATGAACAGCCTCCCAAGTAATTTAAAAAACATTCAGAGCTTTTCTTAACAAGTTTCTGCCTTTTTCTTTTGAGACTCTGCCCCCTACAGGAGATGAAGTATACCTATCTGCGGTAGGAAACAAGTATTCCGGGCACTGGCCACTAAGGAAAGAGAAAAGCAATCCAGCAAAAGCACGCGTATCACAAAACAACGGACTATAGCAGTGTTTGCGATGGAAGAGAGAGCGATGAAATGAAATTAAAATTTTCAACTCTGGAATTGGCCCCACTACACAAATTAGGATTGACTTCTCCCCATCCCAAATTAAAATCCCTGCCAGTACCCTATTAAAACTCCAAACCAAAACATGAAGGTAAAAGCTGAGCCGAGCAAATGAGTTTTAGACTACATTACCCCTGTCTCCTGGCTTCCCTACACCACCCACCCCGACCTATGCTCCAGCCAGCCACATTTAGTGAACATGCCAAGGAAGGCACCTTACAGCATGGACCCCACAGCAGCTGCCAAAAGGTCTATCCCTACCCATCATTTAACCCTTTTCCTAGTCTCTTCTAGGTAGCATCCTTCTCCCTGCCTCTTCTACTCACCTTTGTCTTTTCCCTGGTTTCAGCTCTGCACTGCCAGGGGCAGGGGGCCTGCTCACACCCTCCTGTCTGAGTGCAGGGAACACTACCAGTGCAGCCCCGAGCGGTGCACACCTCCCGGGAAGCAACCTTATGAGAGAGAGGTGCATTAGGCGACAATCCTATGCTATACCTGAGGCTTTCCTTCCTTTTACCAGAAAAATCCCCAGTCCAGCTACTCCTGTCCCTGCCTCGAGAACGAAGCTGTTCTCCCTGATTCCCATAACCACCGATTAGCTGACCCCGTCAGCAATCTAAAGCCTGAGAAGCGCACAATAATTCCAGGCTGTCCACAGAGCAAGCTCTCAATAAATTACTGTTGACTGTCTGGACTTTGAGATATACTCTGTCTATTAGTACAATCAGATACCGAAATATCAACCATTTCTAAAGAGCTGCGCTAAAACCCGTGTCTCCTTGCTACAAAACCACCTGCAGATACATATGCACGTCACCATGCAGCTTCCTCTGGCTGCTTCCAGTCTCCGAGTCCACCTGCAGGTTTCTGCTTCGCAGTCACTGAGGCTCTCCAGGCAAAGCAGGGACAAGTCACTTACTCCTCCACCCTCCTTAGGTAAATTATTTTTCAACAGAAAAGGCTACCATCATAACGAACATAAATTCAGTGTGCCACCACTGTTTGGCTATTCGATGCAGGAGCAAGCACAACATTTTATATTTGCTCTTGGTTGGCTTCTCTACATTTTTAAACAACTTACTTAAATCCGATATACCTGAATTAGTCTTCCAAATCGGGCTTCCGATTAGAGCTGCCTTCACAGTAAATTTCTTGTGACAAAGGGAAACCATTTGGTTTCGTTTACAGCAGGTGTATAGGTTTGGTGCAGTGAGGGTGTTTTTCTTTCTGGTTTACTACTTTGGGGAAGGTGAGAGGAGTGGGGAGTGGGGAGTAGGGAGAGAAGCAGTAACAAGGTTTTAAGAACTAACAGATGATTGGCCTTGAACTCCACTTGTCTCTCACCTTCCACAGAATTCCAGAAGCCCTGAGCTTCCTCAGGATGAGGCAACAGGCCCATCGTGACTCAGAGGTCACCTGCTTAATCATCATCCACCCTGCTCGTACCACGTCCACATTCCTGTGTAGGCTGACTCCAGAGATTCTACCTTAACAGGATCTGACAAGTCATGAGCCATGACAATGACTGACCATGGACATTTTCCTCGCCTAAGAATATTAGTAGTCAGCTCCGGGCCTGAATGTCTCTTATGAGACAATCTGTGGCATCCACAGTCACAGTGACCTTTATTTAAGAAGGCAGAGGAAACAGAACCACAGCAGACTCCAGAAGCCTGGTCCAATCTGGTAACGCTTTGGCAAAGCCTGTTTGGTTCAATGGGGTCTCTCATCTCTGCTTCTATACTTACCGGCATGGCAGGAAGACCAACAGATGTGCTAATATAACTTTTTAAACAAGGAGCTGGGTCTGGCCTACTGAGGGGATTTTAAAACTGAATTCCAATTGTGAGATTCAGAATTGTTTGATGAGCTTTTGGGAAAAATTTGCTTCCTACCTGCACATTTGAAACTCTGAGCAGTGAGTCCCCGTTCCAGAGACAAGGTCGTCAGAATGCTGAGGAAGCTGGTGGTCACGGACTGCCGTTTGTTCTTCCTGAGCTCGTGCCCCCCGAGCTGATCCTTGGGCTTGGTCCTCAGTGTGACTTGCAGATTTTGCTCTGAACTCCTCGCCACATTGGCGGCTGTCTTCAGAGCCTCCATCCACTCCTGAGCCCTCTGCCGCGTCTCAGCACGGAGGCGGAGAGCATCCTGGGGGAAAATGACTTGAAAGCAAGAGTCACAGTCATCCAGGTTGTCCATCTGGACCGCCAGACACACGTCCACATTGTAGCTTAGCAGGGGATCCTCGTCCAGCTTGCCAGGCTGAAAAGCCATCAGGTAGGCCCTGCTCAGCACGAAAGTGAATGCCTTCCAATTGTTCTGAACAGTCAGCCTGTAGAGTGTGCCTGACTTGAGGATGTTCTGGTACTGTTTGGGGCTATCCGAGGCGGGGCACCGCGGCAGCAGCTCACTGGATTTCATCTGTAAACAATGACTCTGTGTACAGTCCAAGTGATAACCAAGCCCTGGTGTGTTTGCCAGCGTGTCCTGCTGCCCCACGGAACCAGGCACTGCGGCGTGCACAACTTCCCAGAGCTTCTGCCCCCAGTCCAAAGCCTCCCACGGTGACTCCGCCCTCAGCTGCAGCTGAGTGCTGTCATACAGCACAGTCTCCACCAGCCTGGCCTCGAGGTTGCCCAGAACAGATATGCTCTGGAAGTGGGAGAGCTGGTACGCGGCAGAGAGGTGCTGGTTCCCACTGCTGTCGCGGCTGTAGAAGTGTAAGTGGTAAGGTGAGAGTTCTGCGTAACAGCTTTGCCAGTAACTGTCATGGTCCTTCCTGACCTCCAGGTAACCCTTCTTCAGAATGTTTGGGAATGCCTGCTTGTGTTCTAGAAAGAAACAAACAATAACAAAAGAGCAATGTATTAATTCCTTCATATGGATAAATCGAATGAGATGAAAAGGCAGGTACAAGAAACCAAAGGGATCAGGGGTCCGACACCTTTCTGGTTCAAACTAAACATGGTAGAAGGTAATATAATTCCAAGATAGCATGTAACTTACAATTTGTAACTGGGGAAAATCTCAGATCTAAAAAAACTTAACTAGGGTGGAATAACGAGTACCGGAGTAAGTACTGGGGAGAAAGGCAACGTCAATGTGACATGCAGAGGTCTGTGTGGAAACAGAAATACTGGAGCACCCTGGCCGGTTTGGCTCAGTGGTTAGAATATCAGCCCGAGAACAAAAGGGTCTTGGGGTTGATTCCAGTCAAGGGCAGGTACCTGGGTTGCAGGTTCGATCCCTGTCCCCAGTCAGGGTCATGTAGGAGTTAATCAATCGATGTGTGTCTCTCACATCAATGTTTCTCTCTCTCTCCCACCCTCCCTCCCCCTTCTACTCTATGAAAATCAATGGAAAAATATCCTTGGGTGAGGATACCAAAAAAATACTGGAAAAATGTGGCTATCTATGCCTTGTGCACCCATGAAATAATACTTTGCCAGGATTTCTTCTTCTCTAGGGAACATTCTACAGAGTACCAAGTACATGAGACAGACTGTTCCTCCTGCCACCTGGCCCAACTCCCTGCGAATACTCATCTGTCTTTAAGTGCTGAAGCCAGGAAGGGTCCATGGAAAGGACCGAGCAGGAAGTGTGCTGCTCACAGACTCATTTCTCAGACACCCCATTAGTCCTCAAGGCCAGTCTGCGAGCCTCTGTCGACAGCCGGCTCTCCAGACTTGACGCAGCCAGCTCTCCCTTAGGTCTCTGCTGAGAGGGCAGTTCTTGCTCCCCCCGAGCCTGCCTGTGCTTATGCTGCTCCCTCCGCGTGCACTGCTCCTCCCACCGCTTCCGCTTCCGGCCACCAGCTCTCACCTTCACGCTGCTCCGCCCTCTTCCCGCGGGGCTGTCCTGACTCCCCCGGCCCCGCCCTGCAGCCTGCACCGCGCACGCCTGGCCAGAATCAGGTATCCCCACTATATTATTCCTCTTCCATGGGCTCTTACCAAGCTGCATTATAATCATTTATTTAAATATTGAAACAAATAAAATGCTTTTTGAAGGTTTTGTTTGTTTTTCAGAGAGAGAGGAAGGGAGAGATAGTAACATCGATGTGAGAGAGAAACATCGATGGACTGCCTCCTGCACGCACCCTACTGGGGAGTGAGCCCGAAACCCAGGGCATGTGCCCTGACCGGGAATTGAACCGGACCCCTCAGTCCATGGGACGACGCTCAATGCACTGAGTCACACCAGCCGGGCTTGTGTTTTTTTTTTTTTAAGTCTGTCCTCCCTACTGAGGGCAGGGGTGAGGTCTGTCTTTTCATCCTTATATCACAGCACATAATGCACTGCCTAATATATAGTAGGTACTTTAAAAGAATTTGTTAAATTAGAAATAAAGCTTCTAGCACAATGTCCTGCATATAGTAGTTATAATTCCCTTCCCTTCCACACTGTTTCACAAGTTTATCTAGTCATGCCGTCTTCAATCAGTGGCTAGCTGCAACAAGTCTGAAACTTTAATAAAAGGGGACATCATTTTGGAGACTTCGTAGTGCTTTCATCAGGCATGGAAATGACAACCCTGCAAGAGGACGCAGTCCTCCTGGCAGACTTTCATTTCTGAGATGTTTCTCAACCTCCTCGCTGACACACATTGGAGACAGTCATAAGCTAATTGAGTCATTCCCTAAAGAAGACAAATCACACTCCCAAAGGGCACGATTTCTGATCTTGGCTGAAGAAGAAAAGAGTAACACAGATCTAGATCTTAAAATAGCAAACCAAAAGAGAAAAGGAAAGAAATGAGGCAGAGAAAAGCCTATTTTACCAGCTTCAAATCTCTGGTCAACATTCATTAGTAGTTCTATGGTAATGCAAAAGCCACTAATTTCTTGCAACCCACACCAATGCCTTTGTAGAGATAATGGATTCCTAGACTCAGGTTATCTTTCTGTTCTGATCATGCAACAAGGGAGGCAGTGCTGTTAGACACGGCCTCTCCCCCTCATTTCCATCAAGTGCTGAGGATGGCTCCACGTTTTCCACAATAAGATTCCACCCAAGCATCCCTCCTGTGACCCAGGGCTCACCTATGCAGCCCTGAGTAAAAAAAAAAAAAAAAACCCATCTTGCTTTTAGCTAGGAATTCTCCTCTCCTTTTCTTCCCTCTTTGAGAGCTTTTTACAACAGCTACCATGAATTAGAAATTCTACTTTAATTGGGCCTACACGAGCAGTAGACCTGACTAAAACCTCATCTCTTTCTAGCTGTACCAGCTAGGGTGGTAGATGAGAAGTCCTTGGGTGAACTGAATGACAAGTCCTCTTAGGGAGTCCCAAAAGTTCCCTCACCTTCTTGATGCAGAAGGGTAAAAAAAAAAAAGCATTGTGTTTCAATATTTTTCCCTACCTCGGCTCAGCCCTCTCTAAATAGGTAAATTAACTGGAGAAAGAAGAGGGGGTATTAGTCACAGGAAATGGCCCATACTTAAATTTTGTAGTGTAATTTCTTGGAAAAGAAGAATCAAGAAGAAAGCAAATGTAATCAGAAAACTAGTCTCTGGCGTGTGTATTCCTCTCTGGAGTGCCTGCTTATATCAGACATTATTAATATTTTGAGTGTGAAGCATTAATTATCTTTGATGGTAGAGAACTGGAGAACTACCACTTCTCTTTCATCCCTAACAACTGCTACTTCCTATTGAATCGAAAGTTTACTTTTAAATTTTTTCTATTGACAAAGCAGAAGTTACATATTTAAATCGAAGCTTCATTCATTTACTACAGTTCAACTTCTGTTTCCCAAGAGCATATCATTTCAGCTCATTTAATTAACCCACACACACTAACACACGTGTAAAATTAACACTCACGCATTCAATTTTACAAATTAATATAATATCTCTCTTAACTAATATCATAAACGACTCAGATGGGACCACTGACAAAGATTATCATGATTGCCTCAATAAAACAGAGAAAGATACTCAAAATGAATTACTGTGTCTATAAATTTCATACTGCAACCACAAGACAGTAATTTCTCATTAAAAACAAACAAACAGAAAAAAACCTCTTTGGTGTCTCATTGCTTTCCTCTTTCCAGCATGAGGACCTGGCTCGGCTCCTCCTCAGTGAAGTCTTCTCTTCCCTCCTCGTCTTATGGTCTAAGGACAGTAAGTGCTACCAGCTGAAGAAGAAGAAGGGCATTTCCCCATCATGCACCTGAATCACTTCTGCACTGCCCACTCACCAAAGAGTTCCTCTTTTGACATTATTTCCTCTATCTGTTCTCAAAAAAGTTTCCATTCTCATGACTACCACCTTAATCAAATTCTTAAATACGCTCCATCCACATCTAGGCCCCTCCTTCCTGGTCATTCCACAGCTACTAGGTTAACCTTTCTGGGTCACATGACAGGTCAAACCCCTTCATAAGTTTCCTGGTGCTGCACAGTCAAGTCCAAACTCCTTAGCTTGGCCTTGTAAGACTTTATTATGGAAAATTTCAAACACACTCAGGAGCACGTAGAAGAGTGAAATGAACATCCCCATGGAATCATCCGCCAGCTTCAAAATCATCACTTCTGCTCTTCTTGTTTCGTCTCTCCCACCTCATCCAACTCCTGCTTTCTTTCTTTCTTTCTTTCTTTCTTTCTTTCTTTCTTTCTTTCTTTCTTTCTTTCTTTCTTTCTTTCTTTTTGCTTGAACATTTGAAAGCCAATTGCAGACATTTTATCATTTCTATTATAAATGCTTCAGGTTAACTCTAACAAATAAGAATTTTAATATTTATATATATAGGATACCATTTTCATTCCAACAACATGAATAATTCCTTATCTAATACCCAGTCTGTGTCTCATTTTCCCCAATTACCTCCAAAATTTCTTTAATACAGATGGCTTGTTCAAATTGGGTTCACACATTGATTTGGTCGCTATGTCTTAAGTCTCTTTAAAGTTGTAACATGTATTTTTTTCACAACATGTATTTCTGGAGGAAAGGAGTCTACTTATCTTGTGGAGTTTCTCACGTTGGGGATTTGGCAGACTATATCCTCATGGTAATGCTTAAACGTTCCTTTGCTTCCCATGTTTTCTGTCAACTGCTATTTAGATCTTGAGGTTTATATTTCAGGAACTATTTCACATTCATCAAATATGTATTAAATTATATAAGATTATTCAAAAAAACAGTAAGGTGAAAATAAAACATCCCAAAACCCACACTCCTCCTGCCCAGACTGTATACCATTGATATGAAGCCTTTAGACATTATATATATTATGTATATGTATGTATGTAATAACAATATAAATAATAATTAGGTATATTCACACATATTAGCATACATAATTATTGACCTTATATGTGTTTTCATTGTGGTTATTTAATGCAATTTTGTCTTTTAAAAAACAACCATGTCCCAGATCACAATATATGAAATATTTAGGCAATCTAGTTTACCAAGAAAATCTGAAGTGCCTGAGTCAGCACATGAATGAAGTCAGAAGAATAGATTTCTGAAGATCAGGCAACAGAATGAAAGACAGAGCAACATTTTCATGTTTCCAAAGAACTCCAAAGCCCATGTGGTATCAATATCCCAAATACTGTCTAGGCACATTTAAAGGGAATATTTAAATTCTTATAACAAATTCATAAATGTGAAGGGAAGCCAAAATGGAGTGTTAACGGAGTACTCATCATACAACAGTATTACACTCTGTCCTAGTCAAACCCAGAAGGATCGCCTCTAAGTTCAGCAGATATACTGCCATTCTTTCGCCCTTCATATCTTTCTTTTCAGTTTCCCTGTAAGTTATCCAGATTATAGTCAGCTATGAGGAAAGATGATTTTAAGATCTGAAAGCCTAG